AAAAAAGTGAAACTGTTAAGAGACAAAATATACAAAATACATAGTCAGCTTTCAATGAAATACTTCGGCCTAGCATGGCTGGCCCATAAATATAAATAGGTATATTTTATGTCTTGATAATATTAATTATGTTATTTGCAATAGGTAGGTAATGTAAAAAACTTAACTATTGATTAAATACTAAATTCTCTTAAACAAAAAATCAGATTTACTAAAGATATTCTTCTATGGTGATATTCTGGTGATAAAATCCCCTTAATTAAATCTGTACTATAATTATACACTTGTGTACCATTTGTAAGTTCCTTTTAAAACCTATTTAACATAACCATGTGAATTATAATTGATACACAAAAAATTTATTTGTATTTTATAATTATTGAATTATGACATTGTCATCACAACTCAGTATTTATTGAATGTTTACACTTTACAGTCATTATTTGTGTCCTGATAACAATTTTCAGGACGGACAATTGCCCCAGACAACCGGACTTCAATAATTTATTTAGTATACACATTTAGTCTTAGTACGGATCACGATGTACATAAGATAAGGTGATACCACTTCCCTACCTCACAATGTAAATAAACGGATGCCGAAATGTAAGGCAATCCAGGAATTGGAAATCTCTCAACAATGTACGCTTCTTTTCGCCCAGGGGCCTATTTTATTTCAAGTTGTAATACGTAAATGTGTTATTAAAAATTTAAAATGTAAATATAATGTTCATAATATGAACATAAAATAGGTTGAATATATTATTATTTTATAGATGTAAACCAAGCTAATATTATTATATTAATCATATTATATTATTATACTATCACTACATTATTATGTTAAATAGGTATATATGCAGGTATTGAGCATTAAATTTAACAAATAAATATAATTTTCAATTATTAGTTTATTTATTTATCAATATAAGTTATTGATATATTTTATTATAATTATAATTATAACTAGCTATATTTAAGATGAATAAAGGTGTAGTAAAATTAGAAAGAACTACTCCAATTTTAAAATCAGTGGCAGTTCCAACTCCCAAAAATGTTACCAGGTCTTCTAAAATATTTGACCAAAATGATGACACATAGAATGCATTTTGAATGTACTATAAAAAACATAGCTAGAGAAAAAAATAAAAAACAAAAAAATCTAGCAAAGCAATCAAAATTACAATCTTTATAATATAAATAATAATTATGTACCTGACTAGTGACAATTAAAAAATTGTATTTTTAATTTTAATTTTGTAATACTTTATTATTTAGCTACCCACTCAATATGATTTGATTTTTAGCTAATTATTGATACTCACTTAATTGTTAGATTTTCATTATTTTAATTATTAAAAATAATAATTATTCAAGGATCATGTAAAAAAAATGTTTATTTATTAGTTAATAAGTTATTGATGTATTTTAATATTACTAAGCTCTATAATCAATGCTGGATTTAGGGGGGCACGGGGCCCCCACTAGATTCAATTAATAAGACATCCCCACAAAATAAGTATCTTTAGCAGTGAGTTTTTTTTGCCTCTACTTTATACGGGTCTTTAATATTATATACCTAATCGAATATGTGTCCTGACTCCTGACTGACTGATTGTTAAATATAAATGTTAGTAAAATGTAAATACTATAGGTATGACATTATTTTAATTACTGAAAGTAGTTCTTATTCAACGAACACATTGAAGTATAAATTATAAAACAATAATCAGTCAGGTAAAACCCTTTTTCATTTTTAACTTCACAATCTTATATTATTTTACAAAGAAAATCCTCTCTTCCTCGTGTTTTACATGCAATAAAAGGGAAAAACAAGCAAACGGGCACTGAACTGGTTTCGCTATCTACCGCGGTACCATCAAATACTGCCGTCGAAATTGGCACCCAGAATATTATTTACAAGTGGTATCACCTTATCTTCTCTACATCATGGTCCGGAGTAGGTATGCAACTAAATCGTAAGAATATTCATCCAATCATTAAAACCAATGTGGTCGTCAAGAAATGGCCTTAAGACGACGCCTCGCCCGCATGTGTTGTCTCCGTCTTACAAGTGACATTGCCTAGATAATAACCTTACCTTTGATTTTTATAAGAGCTCAATTCACTCTAATTTTTAAGCTAACGAACTGAAAAGGAATTGGTCTTTACGCTTTAATATATTATATGTGTATAGGTAATCGATCCACGCCGTGTTAGTATATAATTGTTACTCGAGGCAGAAGCGTTTCTCCTTGAGACATGATATATGGTCTCATAGATGTGACCTCGTAGCTATGAAATATTATATTCCATAACATTTCGAAAACCAATATTAAAATACACATTTGGCAAACTAATCAAGAAGAGCGGACAACAACAGAGTTGGTATTACGAGGTGGCAGTTTCATTAACTGCAAGAATAACAACTTTTCCAACGGCTACATGAAAATGTGACGGATTGTATTTTTTTTTAAATATCCAAAAATAAATAATGTTTTATCGCTTTTGTCCGAATTATATAATAGCACGTTCTTCATCAACCCATAACCGTTTGAAACTGTTGGGTATAGACCGACATGACTCAATAATTATTTTCCTCGAGTTATTTGATAATTTATTAGAAGTTTGTACTTGGCTCGATGAGGGTTTTTCATCAGGAGCATACCTTGCTGTGTAAGTACTATAAAATAACCAGAATTTATACAAGCCACTTATATACTGGGGCACGTGTTGAGTTTGAGTTAACCATTAAGCAAGGCTGGGCATTAACGAGTTAATAAGTTAAAGTTAAGTTAAAAAGTTAAGTTACTTTTAACTAAGTTAATTAACGAGTTACTTTTTTTTTTAGAAGTAACTTCTAACTTAACGATTTACATTTTTCCCTATGTTATTCAGTAACTCAACGAGTTAATTAATTTTATTGGCACGTTAAGTTAATTTTTTCCCAAACCACATATTATTTAAAATTAATTCAATTTTGTAAAATTAATTACATAAAAAAAAACCCTAAATATTAAATATATTTTATTAAATAATAATTTATAATAATAATAGTAAGTTTTTATATTGCATATTCACAGAAAATATTTTATAACTATATTTTTAGAGGGAAATATCATAGAGATGACTCTAACCGCGTCAAAGAAAAATATAAAAATTTACTCAGTACCTATCCCATACACGACATATCACCTAACCTATACCTAATCATTATTAATATCATTACTTAATTATATTTTTATTCATTCATAGAATTACGGTGATAACTTGGCCCGTCGATGTAAATAATACCCGTAGTAGCGTGGTATTTACTATTTACCTAATTAAAGTAAAATACACAAAATTAATATAAGTACCTACAGTAACTAATTTTATTACAAACATTTATTTAAATATTGTAAGACATTTTTTGATTTATTGAATTATTATGTTATTTGTTAGCTTTAAAAAAGGTAGGTAGGTATAATTGTTAATTTTATTTTTAAAAAAAAGTAACTTATTTTTAACTAAGTTAAGTTACTTTTATTTTCTAATTAACTTGTAACTTTTACAAGTTAAAAAAAAATGAAGTTAACTTTTAACTTTAAACTTAACTTACATTTTTCCATATTAACTTAACTTAACGAGTTAAAAAAAATAGTTAACTTGCCCAGCCTTGCCATTAAGTAATCTGCAGGCCATCTGGGTGAAGCTATTCAAACCGCTGACGACGTAGCAAATATTATTAAGCAATTAAAATAAAATGATAAAAGTGAGTTTAAAATTATGATTAATAATGTAAAATCAAATGTGATGCCTTAAACATTGAAATATATATTCCTCGTACAGCTAACAAACAAACAAACAGACGCAATGTCCAGGTTAATTTTCCCTAGGATTATTACAGAATATCTTTATTAATTTTATTTGTAGGTAGATCATTTTTAATAATTTATGAAAAAAATATATGATGTTATTAAAACTGGTGGTTGACCGTTTTTCCGTAAAAATCTTACAACTATTCAAGTAGAGCTCTGGCTAAAGTTTTGGATGTCAAATGCACGTGCTTATACTGGTGAGTTGTGTTTAATCAACCCTAAGGCGAATTGAGACCAAAGCAGTGCGAAATAGGTGGCCTGCAGGTTATTGCACAATTTGTACTATTGCAGTACACTTAAAGCAGTGGATCATCATGACATTTTTTTTTTCAATGCATTAGAGTGCACCCGCCCAAATAAAATAATATTATATTATTATGAATTATTTAAAATCTCGGATAAAAAAAACACACAGGTAGGTATATAGATGTATACATCGCCTATACCAAATTTAATTAATATTGCTCGTATAGTGCACACCTATAATTCTACCGACTTGTTAATATGTTATTAAACCAACAAAGTTTTGTCGTTTAAACATAATGGGTACACCGTACATTATTGTCACAGGACCTAATTAGAAGAGGCAAATATGACACGAATTTGTATTTACCTATAGAAATAAACTTAAGCATACCTAGGTAGGTAGGTAGGTACCTAACCTATATAATACAGGTCGTAGCAAGTATATAATTACAAGAACTGCACAACATAAATTATAATACAGCCAAACGATTTAACACACGTTAATAAAATCATCAAACAAGTGGGTAGGTACATATTATTAAAATATGTATTTAGTATTATTGACACTTGTAATATATATGGATAGTTGCTAGTTAGGTATCTGTAGTTGGATATTATAATTTGATGTTTACCGACCGTTTTTTATTTACCTTTTGTTAATTTTCTATTTGAGTATTGGCCAGGCACAAACTGCATCCAACTGTCGAGTTAAAACGATTAAGTCTGATTTCGTCATACACCTTCGCACATGACATCGTTTTATGCGAGTGACACACGTATAAAAGGTCCTGTACGAGTACTTGTAGACTGCAATAGCTGGTACCGACTGCCCATCGATAATTCATCAATAATTGTATACATAATTACTTATTAATTATTATTATTACACACGAGATGACGACGATTACATTGGTAGCTGCGTTGTTCAGTTGTCTTTTGCTACATTCATTTGTGAGTAAATTATAACACTATACATTTTCACAGGAGTTGGAAGGGTTGACTAAATCCCTCACAAACGAATATTTAGATACCGAAATATTTTTTTAATAATTTTAAAGGCACTCACCCTGGGAATTAGTTGTTCGTTTATAAAATAATCAATAGGTTTATAGGTACCTATACACTATAATACAGTTTACATTATTGTCAAACAATTTTTGATTTACCTACCTACCTATATTAAATTATGGGGTGCATGTAAACATTGTAAACATTCAATAAAAGTGTAAAAGCATAAAATGATAACTTTAACCCCACTTAAATTTCAGAGAGCAACTACTCATTATATTACGCTATGATTGTGTATAGGCATAATGTATATTGTATATGTATTACATATAGTAGGCTGTCCACATGGCATATAAATTGTCTTATTATAAAAATTCACCTTAAGCAATACATTTTATAAGTCTTATACAGTAAAATATAAACTAATAGTTAGAATTCGATCTAAATAAAGAATATACCTCGTATAAGTATCGTATGCAAATTTACACAAAACTTATTCATTTTTAATTTGTGTGTAGGCTCTTACTTCGACCGCCGCAAGACTACCCGATTCAGATTTGCCGTTCGAGTTTAACCACGAAAAAGGATCCATAACGACCGATGACAACGTTCTCACCCAATCAGTGTCGAGTGACGGGCAAAATGTATTCAAAACGAACGATCCACAGCCAATAAAAAAATATCAAACAGCTAATACAAACAATAAAGAGTCGTCTAAAAATCAGAATTTGAATAGAAAACCACGAATACAAAATAATGCAGCGAACGGTGAAATCACGTATCCTGCTGGGCATTCGAGTACATCGTATTATAGCAATTTTCCAACGATAGATGGGAATAATTTTTTTGAACATTTAAGCAGGTATGAATAAAATCAAATTCAATTACCATCTCACACAAACCAATTTTTCGTAGTCTCAAAAAAATGGTATTTTCCACAAAATATTGTTTATTAAACTAAATTATTATTGTTTTTTGATAACCTATTAATATACCAACTGCATGTTATAAAATATTTTTTGCTCATTTGGACATGTTTTTATGCAGATTAATTCCTGGATTCTCCAATATGAGAATTGAATACATTTGAAAACACAATAAAGCGGTGCATTAAAAATGTATGAATATGACCATGCAGAATCACAGTTTAACGGAAAATTTTATTATTAATTTATAAAATAATGATAACCATACTTATGTTAAAAATATACACAAGTAATTTTATTTCAATTTTATTTGTATTCAATACACAACGCAATTACATATACCAACAATGTCTTACATACGCGTATGTTATCGCGATGTTATTAACTGTGACGTATACATAGGTACATGAAATAATTACATTTATGATTTAGTGGTATAATTGAATACTGGTATGTAGGTACAAGTTTGTTTTACATAAATAATAAATATAAATTGAAAATTAAAACATTTAAATTAAATTAATAGCACATTTCATTATCGAGAAAACAACAAAATCAAAACGATAAATAAGAAATAACTATTAGGTAGGTTCCTACTAGTATTTGTATATCCAATTGTTTTATTATGGTAATTATAAAGTTAGGTAGCAGAATTTTGGTCCGAATCCTAAGGTCCAGATAACGTTTAGTCCAGAAATGTTACCTAGTATCTTATGCAATTTCAGTCCAATCTATTTTATTACATAAAGTAAATGTCAGAATATGGTACTATCCAACTACATTAATACATTATAGTCCAATAAATGTTTCATCTAATCCATGCTGTCAAAAATACTGAATTAAAAAAATGTATTATAGCTAATTCTATACCAGTCTTTACCATTCATATCATTAGAGGACTTGCAAGACATTTTTGACACGTAACTTATTAATGGATTACTTGGACGAAAGCGTTGTTGACTTTGCTACTTACATTAGATCAACATAGATTCGTGGATGACCAGCGAGTAGTTACAAGCTGTCCCTCCTACATTCCTTCTAGAAATGTGAAATGTGTATGAACTTGTAATAATCTGAAGACATAGATGAAACAATGTTATAAAAATGTTTCATTCGAAACTGGAAACAGCCCAATTAACTCATCATTCTAATTTATGGAAATGTCTAGAAAGTATAAAGCATATTCAGTAGAAGTCAGAAGAAACCAAAAATAGTATTATCCAGGTAACCGGTGGTCATACAAGTCTTAAGCCACTAGCCCCCCCCCCAAAAAAAAAAAAAAATTACTGCTAATCAGGAACCAGTTGAAAATATAATAAGAAAATATGCTCATTAAAAAGAACAGAACGAAATCACTGTATAGTAGGTACCTTATAAGTTATAGCATTATTCGCTTACCACTTAAAACTACACAATTATCCAAATGCTGATGTAATAAACTAATTATTTTATATGTGTGGTTTTATTCATTTGGTTTTGTTCAGATATAGGCTTATAAAATAATGTATAAAAGTACACTGAATGTCTGGACATTAAAAATAATGGACTAATTTACATTGGACAAATATGACGGATATTGGATAGATATAACTGATAGTTGGACTAAATAAAAATTGGACCTATCATGTACCTATTATTTAAATATCAATATAGGATAATATATAGTTAGGTAGTTAGGCATAGGAAGGGATTACATGAGTTAGCAAATGCCAATTTTAATATTTATCTTAGGACAAAGATTTATGTATAGTATGTAGATGCATAGTATTAATTCTTATTCGTATATTTTAAATTTTCCAAATTTCTAACCACGAAAATAAAAGGTTTACTATAGCACCGTGCTCGAACTTACAATATTTTTTGTCCCTTGTTATTTTTTTTTTTGGTTAAGTTTTTTATTTATATTGTTGTTGTTTTTGAATACTCATATTTTACATCATATAGAAATAAAATTAGAAAGTAATTAAAATATATTTTTCCTAAAATCAAAGTTTAATATGCATGGAAAAATGAAATATGACAAGAGCATTATAAATTATATTTAATGTTATACGAAAAAGGATTTAGGTTGATGTATAAAAATTAATGACAAGCACCAGCTAGTGTGTTCATCACAAAATATGTCACATGATATTAAATTATTTATGTTTTTAAATTTTAAATATTTGTTAAATTATTTGGAGGTTATTAATAGAGTGTCTAGACAGTGGACATTAAAAAACAAGTTAGCTTAATTTGTAGAGAGTCATCACTCATCACTCATCCCCTATTTTAATGTATACTGCTGCAGTATAACTTCAGCATCGTAGGACGGGGTGACAAGTTTGACTGATGTTTAACAGATTGATCAGACAACTAAGACCTATCAATAAAGTTTGAAATAAAACGATTTCAAACGATATTGGTGATATAACTCAAACCTTGCAAGTGTCTAGACCACCTTTTTGTAGCTAGCACACATAGGGACACGTCATCATGAATGGTATTATTTATATACCACTATATACCAGCCCCCTAACCACCTTTGGCACCTTTAATAATTCGGCACCTATTACCTCGTCTTATACTTCTTGAAATACCGTAGGAACTACTGCAACTCATGAGCTTAAATATTGTATTAAGAGGACTTTAAAAGGACATATTATTTTGTTGTCTCATCCGTGTTACAAGTGCGTAAGTTAGCAAATTTTAAGCTCAGCAGATCAAGTTTAGCTCCGTTAGCTTAAACATTAGACTGAATTTACCTCTTATACAATTTATAAGTAAGAATATTATCTAAAGTATCTCGTAGGCTTTTTATTATAATTTAATTTTAAAGTGAGTTGTGAGTATTTTAAGATGTACAAACAATTTAAAATTTTAACCTACTCATAACTTGCTTTAAATTAAATTAATAGGTTTATAGGTAAATTAATTTATATATTGTATAATATTGTATAAGTAGGTAGTGAAATTAAACTAAACATATTTTTCACACTTAAAAATATTTCATTAAATTGAATCACTTTGTGAATTAAAACTTTAACCATTTGAACTTTAACCAACAAAATTAATATTATTATTTATTGATGTCATATTTAATACCATACAAGAATTGTATATTGTAATATATAAACTTAACTTGTATTTATATAAAAATACGTTAAAAATTATTAATATTTAAGTCATACAAAATTTACAAAAAAATAATAATACTTTCTTAAAAAAAAAGGGAAAAAGAAGTACGTGAGGTCTGAGGTAGTAAAAAAAATGTATATATACATATAATATAAATAGCTAGGTAAATACTGTCTAATTATTCTTTCAGCTACACATCGTACTATGAAATTATAATCGCCAGACTTATCCGTATTGATTTTTGATTCTCCTTACTATATAGAATCTAAATATCACTAAGCTCCTAATCGTACAATTATTGTCAATATCAATATTATTAATCAATAAAATTACTTCTTATGTAAAGATAATTCATTTTGCGTATCTACGGAGGCAGCGGAAGTCCCTAAGGTTACAACTTTTTTTTTAAAAATAAAAATGTCTTTTATGCATTGTTACAACTAGATATGATTAAAAAAATTAACTAATATTTCTTTATTTTGTTTATAATAATACAGAATTTTTTTTTAAATTATATAAATATTTCTTTAGAGGGGGACTACCTCTCATTCATTTAAACAATATTGCCTTGGGTGTTTGGGGATTTAATCGGTTCATTAAGTTAACGTTTTTTAATGACCTATTAAATGCTTTGATGCCTCTGGGGACTAAGTCTAGTCACTCCTATGTGCAGATATATCCATGGATTACCCAATATGAGAATTTAACAACATACAGAGGTGCATTTAAAATGTTTGAAAATGGTCATGCCGAAAATTTAATCACAGTGGAACAGAAGTAATGATATTTATAGATACTTGTGTAAAAAAAAGTATATGTAGTTATATAGTTTTTGTTTCTCAAAATTCTATATCATGTCATCTGTATAAATTAGAAAAACATTAAGTGATAAAAAAAATAAATAATTACATGGAAAAAAATACAGAGAAAAGGGCCTCCCAGGCCCCAGCAGAAGTAATACTTCAACAATATAAAAAATATACTATGTATAAATGCTACAAAATAATTTTATTTTTATTTAATGCATAACAACTACCTATATATATTATATAATTAATCTTATTTTTACCAGGGACGCATAGGCATGGAATAATTAAATTTCTGGTTTTGATTAATATTATATTATTTATATATATATATATATATATAAATATTGTATTATTTATATATAGGTAATTATATTAAAATTTAAACATAGGTGGTATGTACACATTTATTTTACATGAATGATGAATATAAATTGAAAATCAAAATAATTAAACTAAAAAAATAGCACAATTCGACATCGAGAAATTACAAAATCATAACGATATAAATAACTATTATTAATTTTTTTTTATATCTAACCGTTATGCAATATTCATGCATTTATCACATAAATATTAAATGGTATACATAGTATGTATAATTTCATAAATAAATAAATAAATTCAATGGTAAATGTAGGTACCTAATTAAAACAGATCATAAATATGAATAATTTATAATAACATCAAATAGATTTAAATATAATAGCCTAATGTTTGCATAATATAAAGTCATAAACCCGGATATTACTATCACGTCATTACTTTGTCGATCCACGGAACGAAACGCTGTACATTGGTGTAAACTCCTGGCAAATGTTCACGACCGCATCCGATTCCCCAAGAGACCAATCCGATTAGAGTTTTCCGTCCGTCCAGCATCGTTGTCAACGGTCCGCCAGAGTCGCCCTAAATTGTGCATATATTATTTGATTAGGAATTTAATTACACTGTTTATGGGAGTCGAACAAATTAAAATATTTTAAATGAAAAAAACCCTTTGAGTTTGTTTACATAAATGTATATAGGTTCCTGTGTAGCTCTATAGTAGCATAATAATTATATGGCATAAGTATACATAGGTGGGTAATTACGAGTTATGTTATAATAGTGATTGCATTTTCCTATGCAGACTGCCAGTAGTGTGGTCTTATACATTTGTTCGATATATAAACTCACAAACGTTTATTCATATATAATATGTACTACAAACATAGATGCATAATATTAGTGTTTTAATTTTACACTTTTCAAATTTCGTAGCACGAAAAATATATTTTCCCCACTGTGTTTTAACCTACAATACCTACCTAATAATTTGTCCTAAAGTTCGTTTTTTGTTAGAATTTATACACATATACGTTTATTACTGTTATCGTGTCGATAAATATTTTTCATATAATACCATGTATAGAAAATTCTAGTATAAGCACTTGTTGAAAATTTCATGTTTGTATGGTTATTAATCCAAAAAAAAAAAAATAATTGATTGTTTTGTGTAAAAATTGAATACCTATTAAGAATTTTTAATTTTGACTTCCTACATTAACTTACTAGATTCACTTTCCTATCAGAAAATATATTGACGTTAAATTCGAAGAACACTATAATATCATGATTTATTGGTCGAACTCAAAAATGATTAACTATAGGGAATTTTTATATATTTTATTTGACACTTTTTACCCAGCAAAATAATATTTACCAATATTTATAGATAAAAAATATGGGAAAGTGACTTGGCAAACGTTTTTTTGTTGTACCTAACTCAAAATATAAAAATCATTGAAACTTGATACAATATACTGTTACTTAAATTATTATTTTCCATACACAATTAATTTTTTTTTAATATTTAGACAAGTTTTAAGAAATGTATAGGCATTTGAAAGTTTTGAATTTTTTACCGATTTTTTTAAAGTGTTAATACATATTTTTAGGTTTTGTCAAAAATCAAGAAAATGTATTATAAGATTCCACGTAACTGTTTTTATAGCTATTCAAAAATATTAAATATACATGGGCAACATTTTTTTTATAATTACTCGGTGCCCAAATTTCGACGAAATTCATCCCTTTAAAATTTGCCAAAACATCAATGCCTGTATTAAAATGAAAAATGATCAGCTTATAATTGGAGAAATATATCAGTCATCCACAATTTTAATGTACCTACACATAGGTACTACACCACTACCTACACCAGTAACTTCAGTCGTGAAGGGCGAGTGGAACAAGTTTGACTAATATTTAACAGATTGATCAGACAGCTAATACGATTAATACACTAATGCCCATAAATAAAGTTTGAATTAAAACACCTTTGAAGAATTTTACACAAACCTGACAACTGTCCCGACCACCTTCTTTGTAGCCTGCACACAGGAACACATCATGAATGGTTTCCCTTCGACCAGCTGCTCGGAACCATCTTTGGCACCTTTCATTCGGTATCACCTCGACTTGCACTTCTTGTAACACCGTAGGAACTGTTGAAACTCCTGTGTTCGAAAATTGTATTATGTTAATTGTTTAATATTAAATAGTGTTATTATTTTTATAATCTATAGAAATGTAAAATATATGGACATATTATTTCATTTATTTGTAGGACATTTTTTGTATGCACATAATCTCATTTGTTAGTTTTTAAGTTTTTTTTTTTATTCAAAATATTTGAGTATTCTCCATATTTAAGAACTTTTTAATAGTTCTTACATTTTTATCTGCCTAGTATAGAAGAAAATACTTTAATAAAATTCATGTTTAGAAGGAATATAATTTTCAAAGAGCATATAGTTGGTTTACAGAAATCTTATGACTATAATATGACGTTAATTGTATTATGTATTGTGGAAGTGTGTAACTATCTTTCAGTACAGTCATAATTAACTGTAGGTAATCGATTATAAAAGCATATTTAGACCATACACATACTAAAAATGCTGTGTCAAAATCAAAACAAAGTTAGAACTTTTATTTAATTTTATTAATATATCTTTCTATTTCAATTATTGTTTAAAATAGTGTAACATAATTTCGATTTATTTTAATTCTACTTGGTAACTAGGTAGGTATTGATAATATACGTAGGTATTTAATATAATATATTTTTTTTGTAAATTATATAAATTTGATAGCTAAGTTCGGCACCTGGATAACTATAACTGTAATGACCGAGGTGTTATTAAGATGTTAAGTGTTGGCGAGTAAAATATTGAATTTTTTAGATTTAAGTTTAAATATAGATTTATGTTAAAGTTGAAAATATTATAAGTTTATAAAATACAACTTTTAAAAAGTTAAAAAATTTTTGGGATCTTTATTTTTCAGATTGCTTATATATGGTAGGTACCTAGATCTATATGATAATAAATATACTTACCAAAGTTATGTAATGTTAATATAAATCCATAAATGGTAAACATAATTCCAATTCGATTTTTTGTAACAAGAAAAATATTTTACGGTTTTAAAATGTTTAAATAGGTGCATTTGTAAATTTCTTGTTTAGTTTAATAGCAACATTAAATATATAAAATTATTAAATAGGTACTAACCATGTCGAGTACGACCCCAACCAGCTACTGTAGCTGTCTTGCCAACCAATTTAGCAGCTGAGCTTGGCAAACACACCGGAATAATGTGCTGTTTATATGTTACGTCGTGGTCAATTTTGACTAAAGCCACGTCATTACGAAAATCTGTAGGACTGTATTGTGGATGCACCTGTAATTAACAATATTATATATTATAATTATTTGAGATTGATGTCAATTATTATTACATGGATTGGAACCTTTATACCTTTTTTGGTTTCGGTTCCAATTAGGTTCTTTAAAATAAAAATATATGTATCGATTAAAATTTTGGCTCCAAGCCCTGATTATTATAATTTGGCATTATTAAAAGTAAACCAGCTATTTTATGTACGTGAGTTACAGATTTATATAGATCCTATATTAACCCTGCACACTGCAATCATTTGAATATGATAACTAATAAAATCTATAATAAATAATTTTTACCCCGCACAAACAAATAGCACATACTTAACCACTTACTTAACAATATAATAAGTTGACTACCGTAGTGTTTTGGCGTTCTGATAAATTAAACCCAATAATTAAAGCAACCAGATTTCTCATATTTATTTTATGACTTAAATGTAATTAAATGCAAATAATTCTGTATAATAATTTTTTATCAACAAATCATTGTTTTCTGAATTATACACATGGTGATTGTTGATTGTACACCGTGTACCTATAATCAAAATTCAAATGAGGAAGACGGATTTAAGGTAGAAAATCAAACACGTGTAGTAGTTAATAGTTATACCTACTGTAGTAATGTAGTACTGTACATAATGAAGTATGTAGGTATTAACTATTTTTTTCTTTTACGGTTTTAATAAACTTATACCTTACTATTAACTTATATCAATATTAAAAACAAGTGAATTAGGTATGTTATATTTTTTTGCGAGTGACTATAACCATTTATACATCATCTGCATATTTGGTGATATAGGTATACCAGGTACCTACTATACGTCCCGGTTTGGTCAGTCATGTACTGGTTTAGAATTTAACGTCCCGGTGTCGAGAAAAAGTTAATCTTCACGGAATTAAACTTTAATAATTAGTGTTAAAAATTAAAATGTTGTCTTTTACTAAATATTTCTAATAGAAAAAAAATAACTCTTTAAGAAATTATAAAATAGTCAAGTTATCCCTAATTTATAATTTTGTCAGTTACTCGCATATTGATTTGTAACATTGAGTTAGTTTTTATCTTATAAATGTATGTTTTAGAGTAAAGATCATTTTATGTGGTATTTCAATTACGAAAAAATATTATATTAAGACATTTAATTGGCATGGTTGACCATAGAAGAGTGGTAACATTTTTACAAAATTTACTTACAGTTTTTAAGTAATTATACTAAAAATGTTTGTTCTGATTTAAGTAAAATAAAACATTGCAACCCTGAGGGTACTAAGAGACTAAAGCAGGTAGATAAAATGATAAGGAATTGGCTGTCATAGTTCTTTAAAATAGTTTAGGTTTAAATAACTCGTAATAATTTAACGATTAGTTAGAATTTTCGTCAATATGAAATTTCGATTTATTACTCTTGACGGTACCTAATTACTTTTCAGTTCGTCGTTCAAAGTAGCACAGAATTAATATAACTACTAGTATGATAATGTCAATAAAATATATGATAAATCAATAAATCCATAAAGATAACCTGAGTCAAGAATCTAGAATCCAGATTGCATAATTTATATTTTAGAAATAAAAAAATGAAAACCACTATAGCAGTAAAAAAATTCCACCATTAGAAAAGTGCTACGGGATAATGCCACAATGGCCCCCTCTAAATACGTAACTGATGTTAAGACAATAGAAAAAAGTAATTAGAAAGGTAAACATTCAGTAGGTGATATCTTTTGTGTACTTATAGACAGAATTTTCTCATTCATAATAAATTATCCTAAGGAATCAAATTTTTTATGGATTTTCATTTTCTACATTAACACTTAGATAGATAATACATTTTATAAAAAAAAATTAAATTTGGTTTTATACCACTATATGCGCTCAATAATATCAAATACGTATTACTACATTACTAAACTAAACAATCGTACAAGAATATAATATTATATTAGTTAATTATCATTTCTTACTTCTTTGCGCTCCACATTGAATTCTTCATGTGCGTACTTTTCTGATTGATCACGAACATCCCATTCACCGAGCCGTACTTTTAAATTATTATTCGCCGTGCTTTTTAATATAGTAAAAATGTTTAAATTAATGTAATTTAAATGAACATGTTACACGATTACAAAATCTTAAGTGTTGTCGTAGACGCGCGCGCAAAGTCCATTTCAGGTCAAGTCACCTTATATGTAAAATCAATGGCAAAATAAGCCCGATTATATTTTAGAACTTTATAGGCGTCATTTTCTATATTTTTTTTTTTGTGGTTGGGGGTAGTGACTTCATTTTACTTACACACAAATATACATACTCTTATGGCGTAATATCAAGTCAACATTTATGTTTAATTCGAACCATCGAGTACACCCCGTGCGCACGTCAATGAAAACCTTATGAGTTATTATACTTACGTGGCCACGCAATGTGCAGCAGTAACTACCCATCGATTACTCAGTAGAGCACCTCCACATGACAATTTTTTTGATAAAAACCCTGACTTGATGATAGCGGCCTAGATAAATACACATATTATTATACTGTTGTTAGGATTAATTCAAATAATAGCAATAAGAAAAGGTTTATTACATAATTTGAATATTTATTTTATTTACCTGCCACGGATGTGTACCAAAGTTTGATCCATGTCCACCCACAATTCTATGGCTTCTTGCATATAGTTCTCCACAACCTATTAAAATTAAATGTGTATATTAGGTATGTAAGTTATTCAAGGCGGAATCGTAGATCTTATACAAGAATAAGGTGTAAATATAATATAAAAAAGTGATGAACAAGAATAAGTAAAATAAAATACTAACATAACATTTCAAATAAAAAAAAAGCATAGGAATAAAATTTCAAGTTTGTTTTTTAATTTGTAATTATTATTCATTGTATAATTAAAACAATTTTGTATGCACTAGTAATAAATAAAATACCAGGTTATAATATAATCTAAAAAATAACCAGATAGGTAATTTATTGTATTCAAAAGATAAAAATAAAACATTAAGCTTGAAAATTTAAAAAAGTGTTTTTATAGATATATCAAAATATACCTTACTAGTTATTTTAATAAAAAATGTCATACTAAACGCATAGGTAGGTACATTCATAACTAATATTAAATATAGGTAATCGGCTTGATAATAATATGTATAGCTCATACACCGGGATTAAATCATACATTATACGACTATAGAAACATAAAAAATAATCACAAATGTTCATTAACAGATGAATAACTATTATTTATATCTATTATCTACGTTAAATGTAAACAATTGTTTTATTTTAAATTGAGTTCTTCCAAACATTTAATATTACTAGAATAATGTTAATTTATGTTTAAAGGGATCTTCAATTTATACTTTCAATTACAATTTTAAAAATACTCTGACGTATGAACGAAATGGTATCAATAACTTAAGCTTAAGTTTATCTCTTTAACCTGTTTATTTATTTACAATCAGGACTTCAGAAGTAAGTACAATAAGTCAATAAGAAAATTTGATCTTGCAGAATATAACGATTGGCGAGACATGACAAGGGAAGTTGTCAATTGGTGGGTGACACCCCTGCAGTTAGCTCAAGTCAAATGCTTTACAATTAAATTTTATAACTACCCAAAAACAATATTTTATTTTCTATTATCTTATATCTAAACTCTATCTCAATAACTATATTTGAAATTTTTTTGCAATATTCATCTTGATTTTTGATAAAGTAATGTATTAATAATGATATTAAGTTATATGTTTAAAAAGCTGAACAGGATAATATTGACATATGGTTAGCCATGTCGTGTAATTTCTTTCAACTTTGAGCAAGACAACGATGCATTATAATATAATAATATATTTTAAACGTTGACAAATCGTGATTCGAGTTATTTAAAAATTGTAACCACTCTTGTTGAGAATTCATCAACACATTTAACAGGTATAGACAGCATAAATAGCTGCAAGCTTTAAAAACTACTTTCTAAGAAAATCGACGCTTTTTACTTCAAAGTACCTCTACTGATGGTACTCGATGGTCAATCGATAGCTGCTAGAAATTTTAGAAGTGCATGCTTTAAAGAATACTCTAAAATCAATTCCTTAGTAAAATCTAAATCTAAAATTGTACGGTTTTTAAAATTTGGTTGTAAGTATTAAAGAGATGATACAAAGTCCAATACAATTAATTTACACAGCTAGGTAGGTTATATATTATATCAAAATACATAGAACATTTCGTAATTTTTAGTTTAATAGAATAAATCAGCAATTTTTTTAAATTTGAAGTTAACACACATACTTGGGTATAAGGAAAAAGTTGCTTTGCTGTATAGTAGGTTTTGTGTGTACTTCACTATTGACTAGGCCACTGTAATGGATCGGTTAAAACTTAAATTTGAATTCAACGATCATTGCATAATATATAAAAAACGTTTCTGAGCGGAAACGGTGTACCTATCATTTAACTATTTCTAATTTATTTATGTAACTATTAGTTAGGTATTTTTCGGTAGGTCGAACTATTTTTTTCCAAAAACATAGCATATAATATAAAATAATAAGTTTAATGGGGCTTGTTGTGGCTCGATGGTTGGCCTCAGTTACTAACATGTTGTGATGTCAAGCATCGGTTGACGTTACTAGTTCCGGGATGGATGGCGAATCCTCTCTCCACATAAATGTGATAATCAACCAACGGAAAACCCCACTACAAAATGCTAATGGTAATGGTTGTCGATAGTTATAAGATCAATAAAAGAAAAAATTACATTAACAACTTTAGTGTTATAAATCATCATGTACCTATTATATTGTTATTATAAATTATAAGTTAATACCGGCGTACCATTGAACGGTGTGAATAGGTTCTTGAATCGGGATATAAATAGATTGCAATTATTCTAAATAATTTGAAAATGACATGGTGTATTATGGAGAACGATAATTTAAGTTATAGCGCGTCTTGACCTACTGCAGGCCGTTTTACCGCCAGTTAATCGCATCAAAGTTATCGCGTTTTATTATTTAATTAATTAAAAGTTATCTAAATATTGCACCTTCTAGGCAGAAACCCTGGCACTCATTTAAGTGGGCTAAGAATCTATTACCTACCTACTTATAATTATTATTAATATCATTGCTTAATAAAATACAATATTTCTACCCCTACCTACACTTTTAATAATTTATTAGTCTTCGATTTTATATATTTTATATTAATATCTCATATTTTAATACTCTCATATATTTTGTTCCCAATTTAATTGTTATATTATGCTACATGTAAGGTTTGGCGTTTGCTACAATTTAATCTTTCTATCAATATGAATGTGTATTTTTTTTATCTATCTAAAATATTTATATCATTTTGAAACCTTATGTATTAAAATTGAAAACTGTGTCCATTTTAAGAACAAAAAAAATTGTAAATTTTGGTGATATTGATGAATTTTTATCTGTAAATGAACTTTAAACGATTGAAAAATGGTTTGACTAGGTATGTATTTTCGATATATTTTAATTTGTGTAAAAACATATTGTATTCAATTTTCAAGCTATTGACTGATAAAAATGTTATCAACATTAATTGTAAAAAAAATAAATTTAAAATTTAAAATGTCTATTAAGAACTCAAAAATAACCAAAATACTTTGAAAATTATATCATGTGTAGAAAAGACTCTAGGCTATTATTTTTTGAATAATTACAAAAAACAAAATTGATTTTAACGTCTGTCATTTTTTTAGTTTTTCTTGACTTTTTTTGAAAAGTTCTTGAAATCGTTTAATTTTGAACAACTAGATCCAATTTATTGCTAGAAACCAAAATTAAAGTTTAACATAAAAATGTTTTTACTGCTCCAAAAATTAATGACAAACACAACTATATAAGTCCATATCATAAAACCAATACATACAATAAGAAGCTTAAATTAAAATATAAAATTTAATTTATGATGAATGGACATGACAAATTAAAATTTAAATAGATAACTGGATAATAGGCAAAATAGTAATATATAACGAAATATACAATTTTGGGATAATTTGTTATACATTTCATAGTAATTGTCTAAACAAAACTATAGGTAAAACACATACTACTTATATGTATCAAGGAGTAGATCAAGAATATAAAAAATAAGTATCTACTTACAAAATATTATTACAAACAACATATAGTAACTACTCCAAGCCTGTTTTTGTTTGTAGTATAAAGAATGTAATTAAGTAATGACTAATTAGTAATTTGTGGCAGTATATATTTTAATTAAAAGGACATCTCATCCATATGATGTGTTGCCTATGTCTTACGTTTTTGTATTATATGCATCATAATAAATTTACGTCCAGCCTAACCAATTTTGTGTTGTAACTTGTTAACTTTAATTTTACAGTGAAATGATCAATTACTATCAAAACCTTTGTATGTACCTATGTTGGATTTTTATTTTTTACAATTTATTCTTTGATTCGTATGCAAGTTATGAGTGTAAAATATTACGATTTTAAAATTCTCAAAACTTTAAAGATCGTAAAAAAACAACAACATAATAATATAATAAACACAGATAATATTCTTAACTTTAAGTTTGATACTAGGTCAATTCACTCTACTATTAAAGCTAACAATGAAAGTATTATTCTAAAGAGGATGTCAGCGCACTATTTGTTTACTCTTTCTAGCCTATGCGCAAAACTTCAAATTTACGTCCAGTAGGACCATTATTGTATTGTCAGTTTTAATATTAGAGTGAATTGGCCTATTATAAAATTTAAAAATGAGAACATTATTTGTGTTTATTAAAAATATTTTGATTTTGATTTGAGTTTTGAGTAGGTACTCATGTACAATTTATTATTACAATATTATTCTCATAACTTAAAAAAAAAATAAAGTATCGTACAAAAACAAACGTATAATTACAGATAATGTTCTTATACCTTTGAATTTAATATTAGGTAAATTCACTCTTATATTAAGGCTTACAACCCAAAATTGGTTTAAGTGAACACAAATTTTCAATGTTGTTCTTTCATAAGACGATGACAAAATGCAATTTAAGTGGGCATGACTTCCACTATTAATATACAAATTATAGTTTGTGAAATGTATTAATTAATAATTAAATAAAAAGAGTGAACACGTGTTTAAGATCATAACTAAAAAATGTGAAATACGAAAAATTACCAAAAAAAAGATATGGCTTAGCAAATCGGTAGACGTCATAAATGTATATTTATCCCCCAAAAAAGTAGGTAAATATGTGTATAAAGTTTAAAACTTTAAAATATATGATTAGGTAAGACAGGTGTCTCATCAAAAATAAAAATAAAAGATTGTAAACATAATATTAATATTAATACAAAAAAAAAAAAATTGTAATATTTTGTCGGGAGAATATGGCATATTACAATATTATATTTTGTTTGATTGGTGTTTGCGCATTTTTCTATCATCCTAAATTCATTAAAATAATCCCCCGGGTGCGTCACCTATATTACAGAAGATACTTTTCGGACTGTAAAACCACAGCTAGTAGATAAGAAATTAAAAAAAATATATATGCTTTTCGGATAATGTAAGAATACCTACACATTATTGACGTAATATGTCAAAACTAGTTTAAATTACTTAGTTTATAGCCCTATGGTATAAACCATTAAAGTGAATTAAAATATATATAGACCGAATTATGTTGATAAACGTATAATGGTCGATAATGTCGAACGTTGATTGATATTAAATAATACTAATAATTGCAATAATATTATAAAAACTATAAAATAACGACTTCGTAACATTTTACAGTGATCATAATTCATAATGTATAATTATTATTTATTAGTATACCTATGTAAAATATGTGTGTGTATCGATTTTTATCAACCGTCATGTATTCACCTCATCGTAATAATATGACGTATAATATACTATGTGTAGATTGTAGGTGCTGCTGCAGTATAGTGCTATGATCATAGAATGTGCTGTACCTATATATAGATACCTTTCGAAGACCGAAAACTGTGTCGTGCTTTTGTGCGATTCTCCTTACATAATAGGTTGGTACAATATTTATACAAAGTGCGTTAAGATGAATTATAAAGACAGCCCGAAGATCGAAGGTTTTTGCATTCGTGTCTCGTGAACATACAGTAAATAGTTGGTGTATGCGCGTTTTCCGGACTGCAGGTGCTTTTATTTACTCCATAGCGTGTGACCGGAAGTGCGGATTTATGCATAATACAGCGACTGTAGTTTACCGCGATATCCGGACGGCATGTAGTGCAACAATTGACTCTGTTGCTGTTGCGGTTGCTGCTGCTGCTGCTGTTGCAGTTGCTGTTGCTGCAGTTGCTGCTGCAATTGATCGTCAGCACCGATGCCGCTGCCGATTTGCGTGATGTGAGAGAACGGCGCCAGTTGAGGTGGTTTATGCGTGGAATAAAACACGTTTCCGTGATCGCTGTGGAACAGCAAATTTTGTGACGTGGGTGGTAAAGTCGTGCTGGTCGACGTGCTGCTGACTGCCCCGGCGCTGTTGATCTGCCAATGACCGCCGGCGGCACTCTGGTGGTGCTGATAGTAATACGGATGGTAATGCTGGTGCTCTTGTTGGTAATAGTACGATGGTTTGGCCGTTTGATCGGTGACGAAAGACTGCGAAGATGGACTTATGTCGTTGATGTAGTTGTCCACGTAACTAGCCACCGTCGGGGGCTGATGGTTGTGATGGTGCTGTTGTTGTTGTTGTAGTTGTTGTATTTGCAGTTGTTGTTGCTGCTGATGTTGATGTTGTTGATGCATATACATGTTGTAGTGATGTTGAAATTCGGGGTATTGCATCAGGAACTGTATGGCTTTATACAAGAGGAAACGACATGACAACATATTACATGTAACGCAATAACTACAATATTTTGGAGGCTTATCGTTTCCCATACATTTTTAAAGGATTATAATATAGCAACATGTCGTACGTGATAGGTATACCATTAAAATATTATATAGACTGAAAGTGGAGGACAATAAAAAATACATAACGTTAATCGTAATACACAAGGATAATGATCCTTATGGAGTGCACTTATCATTATATACCTAATTATATGTGATATATTATAATAAACTATAATTTATATACACCTATAATATTATAAGTACCTATTACTTAGATAATAATGATATCATGTTCGTTCCAAAATTAAAACAGAAAATATGTTACAAACATGATACACAATTAATATAATATCATATATTTAGGTTTTACTATCTGCAGCCAGTGCAAAGATAGGTGGGTATTAATTATAGGTACCTTTACACAGTCGTATTCGCATCATATAGTCACAGCGAAACGCACGTGTTTATAAGCATGTGTGTCACAGAACTATAATAATTAAAGATACCTTTAAATACCTACACGGCTAAACAAGCAAACATAATACAGGTACGACGACGATGAGAGGATAGCGCCGTCTCGGTGTTTTGTTGAGGTAGAAATTATGGTATCCAAGTCAAAATTAAAACCAAATATATATAACGTCGTCGTCGTACCTGCAACCCGTCCTTCGCTGTCATTTTAATAATATAATATATATATATCGTACACCGTGATTTTTACGAAAACGAGAACCGTGACAATATTATAATAATAATAGCGACCATAAAAAGTTTTGCTCTGATTATAATACCAAACGAGAGAAATTAACGCGATTATTATTGTTATAATTTAAAGTGAACTGTGCCGTCGCACATCCAGTGTGCGCGTGACGACGTGTCGCTATAACAATAATTATTATAATAATAATAACATAAAGATGGGCACCACGTGAAACTATACTTCAAGTGAACAATATTGTGCAATGCTGTCATATTATTATTATTATTTCGAACCGTTTATTTCGATATTTATATTTAAAACAATCGCGCGTTCTGGAATGAGACGTTAAAGAATGAAAATAAAAATAACACAGTAAAATGTAAAAACTCACTGGCATTTTCTATTGTTCCCACCGAATTCGACGCCGCCGTCACGGACGATGACGACGATGAGGACGACGGCGATGACGACGACGAAGAAGATCCGGATGTCTGAATTTTGTCTCTGGACACGCAACAGCTCCATATCATGCCGCCACTGCACAAGTCCACTGGTTTGCCGCCCTCGAGCACGCACGAAATGCTAAGGCCGCAATCGAATTTGTTGCTGTTGTACCAGCAAGTCTGAGGTATCACTGTGGACGGTGAAAAGAAAAAGATTTTTAAAAAAAGTCAACATGTGTATTATTATAATAATATTATTATTCGTGGTGGATCAACCGAGATAATGCATTATAATAATATTTTATATATTATATTATATTGTTGTATTATCGTTGTTGTTTAATACTAGGTACTATATAACGTCAAAGTGCCTATATATAATAATATAGTTTACGATATGGCAACATTTCATATTATTATATTATGATACGGACTACGAGCGTACCTAATTCGCTATAATCAGAAATGTTATACCATCGATTTTTATGATTGAACGTGTCTGAGTCTGACCATGGTTATTTTATAGTTGTTTCAGGTGTCATCAGTGATCGTAATAAAAATAAAAGTAGATTTTGAAATATTTTTTTCTAAAAATCTAAACACTAATTTCAATTGAGAAAAAAACTCAAGTCGCACGTACTAGGTAGTAGCGGTACCAAAAATATAAATTTCTTTGACTATAACAATGTCGGTAATATGATAATAGAATATTTAATCGTACACGTATACGAAAACAGGTTATCAAGTATAGACTGCAACGACATAATATTGTCATCAATAATCAGAATAACTGTGATCGCCGATATTTTGTGAGGAGAAATTGTAATAGTGCGGGTTAGGCCACATAATGCAAACGTGCCAAAATTAAAATAATATAAATAATTTGATTGTAAATGTCAATAAGTTGAATGAGTTTTTTTTTTAATACGCAAATTGCTTGAGAGTACCTAACCTACCTATTCCGCATGTGGATTACGTATTTTCAACGAAATCTCCAGAGTACAGCATATTAATATGTGGGGAAATTGGGAACACCAGTGATTATAATGTTACCATTGTACAGCGGTACCTACTTATGTTTTATTTTTTTCCCGTTATTGTAGGATTATAAGAACGAGAAAACGAAAACACGCATTTTGTAAGAAAGTGTTTTCGACGAAATCGTATAAAATAATTTCAATATTTTTTTAATACCCAATAATAATGTAGTCATTAAATCCATGGAAGCTGTAGTAATAAAACATTAAAACATACGCGTATTTGATATTATAACATAATAGATTTTTTTCATAGCGTAAAACGACTTGTTATTTATAGTGTTTTAAAATAATAAGTTCTGTAATTCTGTTGCATTTCAATTGCTGTAAAAATCTTCGATTAAAACGTTCCACAAAATATATTATTTGCTTCACGTAGTTTGCTGTACCTACGTACATAATATGGCGCCTAACCTACACACACTACAGCTATAATTTATGCAAAAACTTTGTTTACGACTAGCGCCTCCGTAATATTATAAATTATAATGAATAAAGAAATCAGATAGAGGTACCTACTCGATATTATAGAGTAATATTATAGTGCCTAGTTGAGTATTATAGTGGAATACATTTTGAATGCTGCAGTGATTATTCGAAAACGACTAATGTGTGTTTTTGACGGGGAAAGGTTTCTATATTGATGACATTCCATAAATTTACTTTTACATTTCGATTATTTAAATTCTGTAAAAGTAAAACGTGTTGAGAAAATAGTAATAATAATTATGTACCAAACAATTTCATACGACCCACTGTTATTAATTTTATTTTTTTAGAAATGCGTATTATCGAATATCATTTTATCCTATCTTATAATGTAGGTACCCAAACATTTTTAATTGATTTTCATATCCGTATAACCGGTCAAACGTAAGTACCTAATGGAAGTGTAACTAATTACTAATTAGCTATATAATATGAAAAAATTATCTCATAACTACTATAATATAATAATAGGTATATCAATAACTTTTTATGTACATTTTCATAAAATATACAGAGTGTAACACGAAGACCTGACAAATGAAATAACTTTTGTTCTAATCAATATTTTTGAATTTTTTTTCGACCTCAACAAGTAGAAAATTTTTAAATATTTTATGAGACTTTAAATAGTTAAGTACTTGTTGAAATCAATTTTTTTAAAAATTTAAAAAGGTATTAGTTTTTAAATTAAAATGTTAAATATTCTTACTTCAAAAAAATCATAAAATATAAACCGCTTGACTTTGATAAATGTGTTTACAATCAAAAGTTTTCCTAAAAATCATATTTACAAATTGGATATTTTGAAAAAATTTAAATCAAATTTAAAATTTTTTATTTTCAATAGTTATTAATAAATATGGATAAAAATGTTCTATTATATTAAGTCGATAAAATATATATAGAAAACAAGTAAAAATATTATTCAGAACAAAAGTTATTTTATTTAGCATGTATTCCTGTTACACTTTGTATACCTAATAATAACATGTAGATGAAGTAATGAAAAGAAAACACGTTTGGTCCTGAATTATAATAGACTTTACCATTGAGCGAATTATATTACTAAACTGAACCTATGTAAAAAATTTCAAATAAATCTAAATTGTCAGTTGAAATGTTAAAAAGTTTTCCTCAGAAATATTATCACATATTATTATGTACCTACTAGTTCTTTTTGTTTTTTTTCCCTACCGAACAATAAAATAAATTATTGCCAGACAAAAAGAAGAATGTGTTTGGTTTCTTTGTTTTCATTATAAACATAAACTAATTTAAATATACAAAAGTATTGCGGTCATAAATATTAAATATTTAAAACACAAATCGTCAACACGGGTTTCCACCTACAACGATATAGATATTAAAAAATATTATTTTGTGTACAAAAATTAACCAAGTCACCGGCCGTGGCAAGTTGCAGACGAGTATTATAAATAGTATAGCAAATCAAGAAAGGAAAAACACCAGACGGCCGTGATGAAGAAAGTGAAACCACATCACGGCCATAGTGTTGCTTTCGTTTATACTACCTATACAACTAATCGTGATGTGTATAATTTATTAATATTGCTATAGAAACGAGAACAACGGCACGTGCGTCGTTTTTTAAAATATTATATATTATATTATTATACATGTAACAAATTGTAATACGTCACTAAAAAATGTACCAGGGTTTAATTAAACAATGCCTATAAATATCCCGGACACGGACACGGATGGCAAAAGAATACAATTATTATAACAAATACGTAGTTATTACATCGTATTCTCGCCTTCTCGGCGGTGGTTATATAGTTAACAAATAGAGTTTGTCAATATCGTATTATGATAAGTAGGGTTAGAACGTTGTTGTCATTAAAAACTAGAAAAAATGTATTCGAAATGTGCACATTAATTTCCTAAAAAAAAAATATCGAAGTAAGTCATTAAACAATCAAATATATACCTATAAAATGCTATGACAATTATTAGTGTTCATTATTCATTCAAATTAACCTGTACATTCTTAATAGATTATTATTAACACTTTTTTATAATTTGAACGTCTGTGTAAGTTGTGACATCGACAATAACTACTCTTGCCCAAATAACATGTAATTTATACGGATGTATATAGTATGCGTGGCAAATCTAGTGACAAAAAAAAAACTTTTTAAATGTTCTTTGAAATCCAAAAGTTAAGATACCTACAAAACATAAAATTCACAAAAATGTCTATAGCATGAAAAAATATCGTAAAAATATAAAAGATACTTTTTAAAGACATATAAAAATGTATCTGCTGCTAAGAATGCTGCAAAATTAAATTCATTATCACTGTTTCTATGTCATACCACATGGATTTATAATTTGGCCTAAATCGTGTACGACTATATAAGAATAAAATATGTAAAAGTCATAAACTTCCTAACCATAGTGATTAGCCATTAGCAGCAATTTGTGCTATATTATTAATAACGTTAGAAAGGTACACCTACCTATATTATACCTAATTGTATGTACATATTAACTGTATTTAAAAACGTTTGGAAATCATTTAGTCGTCTTCGTCATTATTTTATTGCACCTATACAACCAACTACACGAGACAAGTAATATTGGAAATTTCGTGTGAGCATCGATCGAATTGCTTCGAGCAAACCGTTTCGCCATTTCGAGATTGGTAACTACATTTTAAGAAGTAAAATATTATATTATTATGTTGTTGTAAAAATGGGTTGGAGTGCAAAGAATACGTCCCGAAGGCTGAAATTATTTCATGTAATCTCAGAGAAAGTTATCAAGGATGTAAATAAATACAATGGAATTATTCTAAACGGAAAACCCACACAAGTATAATATGACATGATCGCTATCAGGTAATTGAAGCACATCCTATGTGTTATAGCGGAGCGAAATCATTAAAATCATAATTATATGGGACAACACTGCATTGTAATGAAAATATACAACAAACATTATTGTACATTTTTCGGTTTAAGTAAAGAAAAAAACGATCCAAGCATACACAACATGATTTCTATGTCAGTGCATCTGAAATAATTGTAGTCTGCCAGGTATCTACATATTATGCCTACAGTTAAGTCTCGAAGACTCGAATTTTTTCTTGGTCTTTGAGTTGTGTTATTTGAGATAAAAACTCGAAAAATACATAAGTACAATTTATTTTTATTCCTTCGAGATTCGAGTTATTGAGACTCGACTGTGTAATGCATAAAGATAATATGCTTGAGAAGACCTGTATAATATTATATTATAATATTATATCTACTAAACTTTTCATTCCAGCAACCACCGAGTCCAACGCAAATCGAAACGATAGTACAACGTTATCGAAAACGCCGCGTGTCGGACGATTAAAAGCCTAATCATCTGTTCACCGAATTATTGTATAGCCTCATACCCATTAGACCGCAAGAAAGAAATAGACGACAGTGATTTCTTCACAGATTTTAAGAACATAATATAATGACTATAACGAAAACTACTAATCTCTGGCAGAACCGTGGTTAATTACACTTGTTGATTATTAGGTAGGTATACCGGCTACTGTACCTATTGTAGATATTTTTTTTTTAGATCGTTTTCATCATCGCAGTCGTCCACCCGTCCACTCCACCCCACCACCACCCGACAAGAGTCGCGAGTATCGTTTTCTTCGATCGGTTATTTTTTTTCATCCTCTCTCTCTCTCTCTCCTTTCGTGTTCGTCTTCCTCTAATCACTCGGAAATGTCAACACACCCGTCGGCAATCGAGTTCCGCGACGGCTCCTCCGGATATTATACAAACACATTGCGTGGCAGCGCATCTGGTCATATATATATATATATATAAACCTATAGATATATTTTATAAGACCCGGAGCGTACACCCGTGTACTTGTACATTTTACTACGACGTTATGTATACGCACGATTTACCCGAATTTATGATGGGTTTTCGTAACAGGTATTACGTGTGAAACGAACGGAAAACAAAAACTGTCACCGTTGGTGCGACACGAACGAACACCACAATGAAAATACCTAATATAAGTAGTTAGGTAGGTATAAACGTAAAACCATATATACCTATAGGTACCTTGGTTAATATTACAATAATAATACGAATGACAAAAAAAAGGTCCCGGAATAAAACGGGTGCTTCACATACTTTTGCCCAACATGTCCATGAGATCGTTTTGAAAGCCTTTGGAACCGGTGACGGTTTGCCCGCCGTAATAGCCGCCCTTGCCGGCGGTGGTGTTGAAACCGGACTTTTGTCCGAGCACTTCTGCCAACAGAACGGCGTTGCTTCCCGCGGCATCCGGCTGCTGCTGCAACGACAGCGACGGCGGTGCAGTGGCGGAAGCGGCCGCCGGAGACGTCTTGGTCGCGTACGACAACCGCTTCGAGTACCACTTGGACGCCACGTCCGACGACGGTTGCTGCTGATCGCCATCCACCACCGAGTTTAGGTGCGGTGCCTGGTGTACGACCACCTGCACTTCGGACAGCGACGACGCGGCTTCCGATCCGGTGATGACCGCCGGCCACTGCTGCTGCTTGTCGTCCTCCGGTTCCCGCCGCTTGCCGTCCGACTCACCCGCGAACGTCACCTTGTCCTGGTGGTACTTTTGCGCTCCGGCCGACGCCCGTCGACGACTGCCGCCGATGATCCAGCCGCCTCCGTCGGTGGCCGACGAAGACGTACCGTCACTGACGTGATGATACGTGTTGACCTTACGACGGTTACCGTCATAAGTGTCCGATCTGTCGTCAATGTGATGGTCATCACCTCCGCCTCCGCTTCCGTCCGTATCGCTATTTATCCGCTGACGCTGCCGATCGTTGGATCTGACTGCTAATGGCGTGTAATGCGACGCATCGGACGAGTCGACCGCGGTGGAATCCACGTGGCCACCCGACGACGAGGCACTATTGCAATACAACTGCATCACTATGACACTGACGATTATGGAGTATGACCTCATGGCAACGCGCTCGTATTCAAAGTGCAGCGCGATTTTTATCGTTTTTAACAATAACGATGTTGGTATAATTTCGCCGTCGTTCGTTATAATATGTGTCCGTTTAACGCGCTATAACGTTATAATGACGAAGATCTGTCGCGGTTGTCGTGGTGTTTCGGTGGCGTTTCGGCGATACGACATTGACCCGTAAGGCCGCGGTGAAACACGACGATAACTACTATACAACCGTCGTTGTTGCGTAACATCCGATGATTATGATGATGATGACAACTATGATGACGATGATGACGATGATGAAGACGATGACGAGTGACGGTTTTGACGACGACCGACGAATATCGGAGGAATGCTCGCCACGAATCTTATGCTCGCGTGTCCGCCACTTTCTTCTTTCACCCGCGCGTGTTCGAAGTCGGCGAGTACGTGTGTATATATGCGATACGGCAAATAGGGCTTGGCCCGAGCAAATAATAATATAATAATAATAATAGTATTCGCGAGTATATCGCTCGAAAAACTATCACTTCAATAACAGGAGTAACAGCAGCAGTTTACCTTGGATTCCTGCGCGTATACAATGTCGCGGAACGAGCGTATCCACTTTCTTTCTGCACACGCGCCTCGCAGTCGTCGTAGTTATAGTATTATTATTGTTATTATTATTATTAGAAGTAGTAGTAATAGTAGTAGTAGTAGTAGTAAGTAGTATTATGATTATTAAATTTTCTATCTCACACGCCGCACACACGTTCACTTTCACTCGCGGTCACTGAGAGTAAAAGAACAAGTGAAAAAAAAATAATAATAAAAAAAAAAATCCGACACTACCTAGTATAGTGTAATAAAATTACGACGATAACAATAATAATATTTAATATTATTACATATTATATCGTCATTATTAAAAACCGTATATTTCTTACGGAAACACGTGGTAATTTCAAGAAAAATTCAATGTCAAATTAATTAAAACGAAAACTGATTTACACTTGAAAACTTTGCTCAGTTATTTTCATTCGCACCGAAAATATATTGTTAATTAGTGAACGACGAACCGTCAAGAAAAAAATAGTATAGTAACTTTGAACTTACCGCGTCTCAAGTCGTATTAATGCGTATTATCACTTATTGTGCAAAAACCAATAACTCACGGATATAATATGCTATTATTATTGTTATTATTATTATTATTTTAATTGTAAAATAGTAGCAGATTTCAATAGAGTATAATAATATATTATATTTATATAGATACGTGGATGAGAAATTTTCTTTATAAAAAAATAAGACAACAAAAGACGCGAGCGAGAAAATTGTCCTTTTGTATAACTTAATACGATGATATATAGTGACAGATAAAACGGCTGATCACATTGGTGGTTATTTTTTTTACATTTTTATCATCACGACTATCAAAACACCACGGTGATATATATATATAAATAACGAAGTGTAGTCTTTCTTCTCCGAAACAATATTAACAATAAAGACAAATATTAAGAAAGTAAACCGACTGAGAGCCGCAGCAGCACACAAAAGACTAGTTGCTGCAAAACGTAGCGACTACCATCGTCATATTATTCAAGTGTCTCCGCCTAACCGCTCTTTTACCGCGAACTTTCTCTTAATCGGTTTGCTGTTATTCAGTGTGTATACTTGACGTTTACCCCTCCAAGATTAAAAATAGTAATCGCACTCTTCCAAACGTCATAACTGTGCTTTTACTATATTTTGTTGCATACAATTCTTACACACGTACCTTAGGTACCTATGATGGGTACTTGTGTGGGTATATCGTATAATAATATGTTATATAGATATATTAACAAATTTCCAAAATAACCGATAACACCGTTGAGGTAAAAACTGATAAAATCATGTACATTTTACGTGACTGAAAATCCAAACACATTCTTAATAATATAAATATTTTACTATAAATATGTATGAGTTTTGTCGACTTAAACGTCGTGAAATCAACAATTAATGTTTTTCAATTTTAACTAGTGAGTTATATAATCGAATATAACAAGACTCTGCTCGAGACTGTTACATATACAGGTATAGTTGTTATATGTTAATTTCTTTTAGAAATTGGATGTCCGAAATTGCCCTATAATTAATTAGTTAAACTGTAAATTTAAGGAAATGTTCTTTAATCTTTAAAACTAAATTCATTAATGAAACTAAGTAGAATTCAAATAGTTATTAATTTAGTTTTTTACGCATTATCAATTAGAAGAAAATACTATATGATTCGTCGAGTTTCTTTAGTTCTAAGTTCCATCTACCTATACTTCATGAGTGTAAAAATATAATATAGCACAGAATGTAGGTATACGACAAAAGTCAAAAATATAAAAATATTATTAATTTTAATCTTTTTTTTTAAATTACTTACTTGTTTCTATTTGTTGCCGAATTAGCTACAAATATAATTTGAATTATAATGAAATTACAACTTTGAACTTTATTGGATTTGTATACTAATTGTAATTACCTAAGTACAATTAAAAATATTTTCTAATCATATATTTAGAATTCAGTATTAATTAATCAGCAATCTTCATACTAAGCACTATTGCACTGGGTATTCATTTGAATTTGGGTGAATAACTTTAAATATTAATTTTTTAGAGCAATGGCGCAATCTATCAATTTCAAATTTTTTGGAACACCATATCCCATCCGTTAGTTACCAGGACTTAGTTAAGATTGTGTATGTTATTAAGATACCTATTTATTTATTGTCCGGTAGTAATGAATAATGATTATTAATATAAAATTTGTAGTACGGTTCAATTCAGAGTAAATTCAAACATACTAGCATGCAGTATTAAAATACATCAAAATATGAGTACTCAATAGTCAATATGGATTCATACTATCCAATACTAGATAAAATAGGTATCAGGACGTTTATAAAGGTTGCCAAATTAATTTTAAGTAGTATAATATAGAATAAAAGTTGTAATAAAATACGAAAAAAAATTGAAAATTCAGTGAATTTATACCTAACTTATTTAATATATAAATAATATTATATATCTCTTATTTTTAATGTCATACAGTTTTGCCAAATTTTTCATCATGCAAATATGATAATAATTATAAAATAAGTAATAATATATGTACTTACAAAATTGTTCGAAAAAACGACCCTTCTTCTTCTTTGTTTTGTGTTGCATTCCTTGTTGTTTCAATCTTGTTGTTAAAGAATTATTAGATGTTAAAACGGTTGCTGTATCGTTATATTGTAATGCAGAAACAACATCGTGATCGCCAAATGTCATCTCTAAAATAACATTTTTTTTTTTTTTTAATGGAAGAATAATATTTTACAAAAAAACCCTATTATTATTTACTCTTGATAAATCGGCTTGTTTTTGGTTGGTCAACGGCTACTGATTCGCAATTGCTGATGATGGAAATAATAAAAGTAACTAAAGCTACAATGATTATTGTGGTGTGCATGATAGTTTTAGTTACATAAAATGTATCCTTTAAAACATAATAATACATCACAATTATTTCAAATTGCTAATTGGTATGACAATTTAAAGTGTAAGACTCAGTTATAAATTATTGTTATTACTAATAACACGTAAATTATCCATTAAGATAGCAACAAAACTAATTTATAAAATAGGTATTTATGAGATTTGTAGGTACTAATGAGCAAAATAAAATATCGCGGTGTAAGACACTGTCTATACCTATCTGAAGTTGGTTAAAATAAAATATATTGGATACATAAAAAATTACGAGTACAAAGTGTATAAATAAACAAGAAAGTAGTTCATAAAAACTTACTATTCTTTATTTATCCTCACTATAATATTATTCACTTCCTAATCTTTAATGACTCATACTAATTTATATTAAACGTATCGATTAAAAATGTATAACACGATACATCCGTATAGGTAATTATTACGAAGGTAGACGATTTTCTATTATTTAATGTCACCGTAACTACTCAATCTTAATTGGCATATAAATTATTTGTTTTTTATGAATTAAATTATTCGTAGTAAAATTGAAGCTTTTATCTATTTATTTAATTTCAATGACCACAAAAATTTTGTTTTTATTATTGTTTTTCAAGTCAACAACAAAAACAGTAAATACCTATTTCTAATTCCTAAAATATGTAAAAATCGTATTTATATAATTTGTAAAGTACATGCAAATAATGGCACTTTGCGAGAATTATCAGACCGCATAATTGTGCATTGAAACTGTACTACAAATACATACCTACTAAAATAATAATAAAGAACTCAAAATTAAATCATAAATTCATACTATCGTTACAATGCTCTCTGTTCAAAATATATATTTAAAAATATTATGCATTATTATTTTTAATTTAACAACTTACCCGTTTTTTTAATTGAAATATTTGGTTAGAAAGTATTAACTCAGCCAACTATTATAAACACCACTTACACGACAGTAATGACATCTAATAAGGAACTATGCAATTATTAGGTTTGTAATCGCTGTGATAATGTAACTTGACATTTGTTGATGTACATAAATAATATAAATAGCGCCGATATAAGTTGATTTAATTACGTTGAACAAAGGCTAATCATAATACGTAATTCGATTGAAATTAAACTCTAATTGAATATCCGAGCATAATTGCTCCGAGAGTATAAAAATATACTCATAAATAATATTGAGAAGACATTCCCGCGTATTAACTACACGGGTACTGCAGCATGCCTACCAGCTGTTGATGTGTTTACTGGGAGCTGCCGTGCAGTCCATTGCCGGGTGAAAGTGATACTCGGCAAATGGGATGTACGACGTATACAAAAACGGCATTTC